GGTGCGGCGGGGGGCGCGGGGACCTGAGACCTCGGGATCCGCGGTGTCCGCGCTCGCGGGGCGGCCTGGGAAAGTCAGCAGTCAGCAGCGCAGTGGCGGGAACCGCAGCCCGGCGGCCCTGGAAGCTCCCAGGTCAGAGGAGCTGCGGGGCTGGGACCGGGAGGGAGGGAGCGGGGGTGCGAGCGGTTTCTCTGCTGCTCATCAGGAAGCCGGCTCCGAGATATTGCTGTGGATGTCTTTTTTTGGTGTATTTTAGATCATATGGAATACGCCTGATATTTTCAGTTGATATTTTGATTGTCAAAATATACTTGTAAAAATATTCTAGAATATTTGAATTTATCTGAAGATGTGCAAGCATGATTCTCTTTGCTATGGTGGAGATGACAAGGATCTTGAATTTTACAATCATCCATACTAATTTCCATGTTATAAATTTCCATATACAAGAGAGTGGAATATGGAAACGGAGACTTGGATTAGCAGAGAGTTTTTAGATTATAACCGAGAAACGCCTCAAAATTTCTTTTAATCTGAAACTATATTTTTTTTCGAGTACCACAGTGTACTGTTAAATATAATCTTTTATTTTTTACTTTATATTATTATCATTATTATTATTATTGGTTTTTTGAGACAGGGTTTCTCTGTGGCTTTGGAGGCTGTCCCGGAACAAACATAATCTTTTCAAAGCATACTTTTATCCACTACTAATTTTCACTCTCAGACGTGTGTACACTGTGATGTAAATATAGCATTCGTAAAAGTGTTTTTGCCGGGCCTGTAGAACAAGTTTTCTTGTTTTTCCCAGACAGGTTATCTTTGTGTAGCTCTGGCTGTATTGGAACTGATTCTGTAAACCCGTCTGGCCTCAAACTCACAGACATCCCGCTGCCCGCGTCTGCATAGTTCTTAAAGGTGTGCATCACCACTAGCAGCCTTTAAACAACTCAGATGGTGGATGCATGTACTGAAGTAAGCTGGAGGCTGGTAAGGTGTACATAATTACTTCAAGGAGAGTTGCCACTACACAATAAGACCATGTTTCAGAGGAAAATAGGAAAAAAAAAAAAACCAACAACAAAAGAAATGTAAATGCATTGGGGTATACAATGCTGTTAAAAATAATGGTTGGAAGCTGGGCATTGGTGGCTCATGTCATGTCTTTAATCCCAGCACTCTGGAGGCAGAGGCAGGCGGATCTCTGAGTTCGAGGCCAGCCTGGTCTCCAGAGCAGGTGCCAGGATAGGCTTGAAAGCTACACAGAGAAACCCTGTCTCGAAAAACCAAAAAAAAAAAAAAAAAAAAAAAAAAAAAAAAGGTGGGGCATGGTTGGAATAATTATGATACCTCATCTATATCAGAAAAAAATGTAATATTAATTTGGCTACTTGATCCAAAAAAGTCACTCTGTCCATGGAAACATGATGAAATTGTGATTCTTTTATTGTGGTGTTGGCTGTGTTTGAGACATGAACTCAAGTGTTGATGTGTCTGGCCCAAACTCACCAGGTAGACCAGACTGGTCAAGTTCCACCAACATCTGTCTCCAAAGTTCTAGAATTAAAGCTGTGCACCAATATGAGTGTTCAACTGTTGGGTTTTCTTCTGTGTTCTCTTGACAGTCAGTGGTGTGACTGGGGGCTTCTCCCATGAGGAATGGCAATGCCTGTAGCCTTCCCTGTGGCTTGGTAGTGGATGTTGCAGAATTGCAGCAGTATGGTTTGCACGGCTAAGAATTGTTTCCTTGTAGTCTCCCTTGCTCCTCCTCAGTATTTTTTTATTTTTTTATTTGGTTTTTTGAGACAGAGTTTCTCTGTGGCTTTGGAGGCTGTCCTGGAACTAGCTTTTGTAGACCAGGCTGGTCTCGAACTCACAGAGATCCGCCTGCCTCTGCATCTGGAGTGCTGGGATCAAAGGCGTGCACCACCAACGCCCGGCCCTCCTCAGTATTTCTTGAGAAACTAATTGGCAAGTGTGTGAGCTTTGTATGAATGAGTCTCATGCCCCACAGAATAAATGAAATCCTCAATGGAACAGAAATGCTTGTGATGTTCTGCCTTCTTGTGTGTTCCTTTTGGAAGGTGTAAGTCTCCACTGTTATTGGTTCATATTAAATTCAGAACCTCTCTAGTGTACAATAATCTCTTCCTAATCATTCAGAACCATTTCTGCCCCTCAGTTTTGACTGAGCTAGGATTGGATGTAGGATTCAAGAGATGCCAACTAAAAAGGCTTTATAACATTACCAGTACTGTGACAATGCATGACAGTTAGGAAATCATTTGTATATTCCTGCATTTAGTTTTATCTTCATCTACTGAGCACAGTACTGTGTGAGAAATCCAGGGGCTTCCTAAACAATCTCTTTCTCATGTGCAGGGCTCACTGATCACCCAGACCTGCTCACCTGTGCAGCAGAACAGGGGGACCTGGAAGGACAGAGGTAACAGAAGCTTAGGATACAGGTATGGTGGAGGGATTGGTTAAAGTGTGGAATGGGATCAATGGGAGGGGGAAGTGGGACATGAAATTTGTTTTGACACATTGTGTTTCACTAGCAATAATTCTGGAGACTTCTTCTGAGAACAGTCTCTTCAGGATTATCCTAATGTAGGCAGGAAAAGACTTACTTCAGAATAATTGATAATAGATTCAAATAAAATTCTATTTCACTATGCATGTGAGTGATACTTTCTTTATTCATTCACACCACTGACCATGTTTTCATGCCATTGTTGAATAATGTTTATTGCAATCTTCTTATTATAAAATGATTGAAAATAAACAATAGGTTTATTGTTTTCAGGATTTTGGACATTTGTTTTTCTAGCACATTCTCTACCTGCAGTTTTTTGTCTCCATTCCTACAAATAATTCCACCAGTGTTTTCAAAAGAATCAGGAAGTATATTTGCAGCTTGCTACATTCCATCCATCCTGTCTTCTATTGTCTGTTGGAAATTATGATGAATATGTTCAGTAAACTATTGAAAAATTTATAAGTTCTGTTTACAAGTTTTTTGCTCAGGTTTCAAAAAAAGGAACTTCAAATAAGCAAGGAAACCAAAATCTGAAGGAAAAAGGAATTAACTTATACAAAATTGCTTCTCTGCATATTCTTTATCCTTCTTCCTTTGCTGTCTTTTTGTCTTGCTGTTCTGTTTCTCTGTTTCTGTCTATTTCTCCATTTCTTTGTCTTTCAAATTCTTTGACTATCCCAGTTCATGGGGTTACAGATATATATACATTAAAAACAGTGATTCTTTTTACAATAAAATATGAAGCTTGAGTATCTTGGGGTCAGCAAGGTCGATAAGATGTACATACAGAGCAATAAACTAAAACTGCTAATAGAAACTTTGAGCATTAGTTGCATAGGCCTGTGAGTCACAGAGAGGGTCTAAGTTGAATTTACACAAGAAACAAAACATGCTTTGGCCTCAGTGGCAGCACAGGCCTTTAGGACAGTTTACTTTTCCTTGAGGATGACCAGGGAAAGTATCTTTGTTTTTATCTTCTCAGGGGAAACAGGAGTGAGCAGTAATTATCTGAGCTAAAATCTTGAGTTAATAAAACAAGTAGTTTGAGGATCTTTTAGTACAGGGTTAGTTTTGGTTATGGCTTCTCTTTCTGCTAGTGATGTAAAACCAAGGATATGCTTATTTTTTTCTATACTTCTAGGCAGCTATGAATCGAAAACTTTGGGTGTGTATTAATTCTTTTTCCTTGAATATTGGGGAATGTCTTAGATGGCATGCATTTGCCTTAACCACTGACCAAATTCCTGTCAATAAGATAATTAATGGGAGGAATACAGGTCTCTTCAGTTATAATAGAGAGAGGAACAAGGACCTGATAGTGGGAAACAGTTCTCAAATATAGCTAAGGGATGTAGTCAGTAAACTAGAGCCTGTTTATGGAGAACAGGTTTTACACAAAGCTAGGAAGTATAATCTGTAAATATCCAAATGCATGGGAGAAATTTGTTCCCAGTAAAAGATCAGATGGTGCTGAACTGTGGGAAGTAAAACTGAAGTTTTAACAGAAAGGAATAAGCTACAGAAAGAATTTTTAGCAAGACATAGCCAGTACATTCATAGGATTATAACACCAGTTTCAACTTTGTACTGCTTTCATCTAACAGAAGAATCCTTAATTCTTCTGAGTTATCTGGTGATTTGAAGGCTGTATAATTACTGTGTGATCTTGTGGTTTGTAGAAATAAAGCAGTGGTTGTAGGTTCTCCTCCAAGATCCATGCCTTTCCTAGCCCTGGAGACATGGGTAGGTTTCCAGTACCAGGTATTTGTTTTCTGTCTTTGAGAGTGTCTTAGTCCAAATAGAATATGTTGGTTACCTCTGAGGTATGTGTGCCACCCTTGCACCCTTAGGGCTGTCATGCGGAGTGCATTGTTTTCGTTCGGAGGTGTCACAGCCGAGTAGGACTCTTGCTTGGCAGTTTCCTTTGAATAATTGCATGTTTCCTCCTGGTACCATGAAAGGTAGTTGCCAGGCAGCAAGCATTAAAATCAGTTTCATCTCTAGTCCTCTAGGAATTGTGTGGGTATTGTGTGGCTTCTTCAATACTAGGGACTTAACATCTTTCTTTGGGAGGCAACCATGTGCAACAGCAATACCCTGGATTGTTTAGAATTCTCTTCAACAACTGTGTGCAACAAGTTTAAAGAAGGCATCCTACACCTTGTGTTCATTGTTTGGGTGGAAATTCTGTGGCTCTTCAGAGGAGCGTCTTAATTGCATCATCATTGGGAATTTATCATTTGTTCACTAAGTATACTTTCTTTTGAGACTTATATGTATCAGGCATTTTAGTTGGTGTGTGGTGATAATCTTACTTGTACAAATAAAAGCCTGTCTGAAGGTCATAGTATCGAGTTTCCCACTAGCTAAGCATATAGGTCTGTATGTCTGTAGTGACAGATTGGAAAGTGAGATGCCTGGGATATAAGGAGGGAGAAACAGGAGCTTTCTCTCTGGTCTGCTGAGATTCTAAGTTGGTAAACTGTGGCTTGGCTTGCTCCTTGTCTATGATCCATTATCATTTTCCTCAAAAAATGGCAGTGGGGCTGGAGAGATGACTCAAATATTAAGAGCAATGGCTGCTCTGCCAGAAGTCCTGAATTAATTTCAAAGTAACTGCATGGTGGTTTGCAACCAGCTAAAATGAGACCTGGTGTCCCATCTAGGTAGAAGTCATTTTTTTCCAACTCATTGTTTCTCTGTATAGTCCTGGCTTTCTTGGACCTCACTCTGTAGATCATGATGGCCTCCCACTCAGAGATCCATCTGCCTCTACCTTCATATTGCTAGGATTAAAAGTGTGCGCCACCCACAGCTAGCTCCATTCTCTGTCCCTCACACAGGCTTTATTTGTACAAGCAAGATATCACCATATTGATGGATACTAGTCAAGGAATAGGTGGCTTCCTTTGAATTTTTCAGACACCCTTACTATTATTTTACCCTCATTCTTCTATGTTTATATCCAGCTCTTTTCCATCATTAAATCCTCACCACTGTCTTTCTGCTTTCCCCTAGAGATCACTTGTTCCCTGTTACCTCCATCTCTGTCAATCCCTAACACCTCCCAGTGCTGTCTTGTTACTTTTCTGGTTACTGCAGTCACTCCAGGTTGTGGACTCACATCTGAAGATTTGGAGCTAGGCACTTCCTATGAGAAAGATCATGCATTGTCTGTCTTTCCAGGTCTGGGTTACCTCACTCAAGTCTGTCTGTCTATCTGCAAAGGACATGATTTCAGTTTTCTTAACAGCTGAATAGTATTGCATAGTGTATATGTATCACACTTTCACTATCCATTCATCTGGTTCAGGGACATTTAGGTTGTTTCCCTTTTTTACCTCTTGTGAGCAGAGCAGCAATGAACATGTGTGACCATATATATATCTGTGGAGCAGGACGGTGAGTCCTTTGAGGGCTTGTTTATTTAATTGAGGAGTCCTTATTTTCATTTTCAGTGTGGCCTGTTTTTTTCTTTTTCATAGCATTTTATTTCTTCTGGTTTGGTTTTTATGTTTTTGCTGTTGGATTTTTGGTAGGAGTCATTTTCTTTGTTTTTTGAGAAATAGTGGTTTGCTGTCTTTCTCTTAGATAATTACTTCCCAGTTCTCCTGTAATTATCTACTCTTCCCTTTAAAGTTATTATTCCCATGTTCTCATGGAAGATTCCTCTGACTGTCCTGTGTATGTTTTTCCTCTAATTCATTATTTGCAGTGCTGTTTTCATGAAATTAATTGTGTTAGTGGTGACTGTCTTGGTCTCCATCAATTTTAAGAGAGTAGTGTTCTTTGTGCAACAAGATGCTCAATGGTGATTTTTTTCTTCAAGCTTCAAATGTCTTTCTATGCTCTCCATTCTTTAGGATCATTGACCAGACACCTGGTCATACTCTCTTTCTTGGGACTTTTCATGTGGTTTGACATTGTTCTCTGACAGGTTTCAGTATTCCTCGTACATTCTAACCATTTATTTTTTATAGGCAATTGTACCAGAAAGAGAAACTCAAAGAAGCAAAACAGTAAGAAATGGCTAATTCTCCAGTAAATATGTCACAGGTCAGTTGTCCTTTCTTGTCTATATCAATATGTTATACTCTCATAGCTTAAAAGTTGTTATTTTTTTGACTGTAATAATTTTTAAATTTTTATTATGATAATTCTGTGAACAGACAACAATAAAATCTCACATTGCAATAAGCAGACCCAAAGAGTGTAAAACTCAAATTAGTCTATACAGGTTGGGTCCTCACAGGGCACAGAAGCTTTGGAGTCTCACGTGGGATTTCATATTTCACAACTGAATATATTTTGATTTGCTTATCCACCACCTAAACCCCAAAAACCTTTCACAAAGTAGAACTAGAAAATCTCTTAGCTTAAGTAACTTATCCATAACTGGTGTTCATTTCCTGCATTCAGTCCCTGGTAATTTAACCTTCCTGTTCTCTTTTCTATAAGTTATACTGTGTCCACATTAACATTGTTTCTATATACACATGTGATTGGGAGATAATGCGTGAGCAAAAACATGCTGTTTTCTTTCTGAAAGGGATGACTGCACTGAGTATTGCACATCTGTCCATTTCTGGCGAATTTTTTTTTCCCTATAGCTGAAATGCACAAAGTTTTATAAAATTTTCATATTACTTTCATTCCTCTGTTGATAGATAAATCTTTGATGCTAGTACTTTCCCTTTTATGATAACAATAGCAGTAAAGATGGAGTATAAATATCTCTATGGTGGGGTGTGTTTATCACTGGGTATATGGCCAGGAGTGAAATAGCTGTGTCATATGTTAGTTCTGTCTTCAGTTTTTGTTTTTTTTTGTTTGTTTGTTTTTTTCATGAATCCAAACTGATTCCCAAAATAGCTGTATTAATTTACACACTCCCCTCCATCAATAGTGAGTAAGGCCTCTTTTCCCTTCCTATGCCATCTCACCTTTATTGTCAGTTTAGTTAATAACAGACATTCTGTCTGGGGTGAGTCAGTATTTCCAAGTAGTTTTAATTTGCATTTCAATGGTGGCCTTTTTGTGATCCTGAGAACGCTCTCATTGTTTATTGGCCAATAGAGATTCTGTCTTTGAAAACTGTCTGTTTAGCCCATTTGTTGATGTGCAATTTTATTTTCTTGGTATTAAATTAATTTTTGATAAATTCTTGACATTAGCCTTATTCAAAGTTTAACTGGTATGGATTCACTTACCTATATCTTAAACAATTTTTGATATATTTCTTGGAATTCCTTCAATTTTTTTTGTGAATTTTGAGATAGAGGCTTTGGATACTGTCCTGGAACTTGCTGTTGTAGACCAGGCTGGTCTCCATCTCACAGAGTTCCACCTGCCCCTGCCTCCCAATTGCTGGAATAAAGGCCTGCTCTACCAACTCCTGGCTTAATTTTTATTAGTTTATGAGTGAAGCAAAATTCTCTAAAAATTCTAAAATTGTCATTTGTCTCTGTAGGCTCATGCATATTCTTAGGAAAATTTTGGATTGTATCAAATATTGCAGATGCAGATTTTTCTCTATTTACACTGGCCCAATTATTGTGAGGAAATTAACTCCATAGGCTGTTTACCTTATATGTCAATGTACTCCTGTTACAATCCATCCTACTGTGGAAATAAAATCAGTCATATATTCTTCTATACCTTCCTCTTTCCTAGTTAATGGTGTGACATTGGACCTAGAGTTTAAACATCCAACCTGAGCCTGTTAGAATTCAGTCTTGTGAGGCACAAATACAGACAAGAATGAGTCAGTGTTTTTTTTTTTTATTATTATTTTTTAGTTCAAATTAGGAACAAGCTTGCTTCACATGTCAATCCCTTCTCCCTCCCCTCCCCCCAAACTCCACCTACCCCCTACCCAATCCACCCTCCACTCAGCAGGCAGGGTAGCGCCCTGGACGGGGCTCCCCAATGTCCACCACATCATCCTGGGCCGGGCTTAGGCCCTCCCTCATGTGTCCAGGCCAAGAGTGCATCCCTTCACGTGTGATGGGCTCTTAAAGTCCCTTCTTTTTTTTGTTTTTTTGTTTTTGTTTGTTTGTTTGTTTTTTCGAGTCAGAGTTTCTCTGTGTAGCTTTGGAGACTATCCTGGCACTTGCTCTGAAGACCAAGCTGGCCTCGCACTCACAGAGATCTGCCTGCCTCTGCCTATGCCTCTGGGATGGCATAAAAAGTAGTCATCAGTCTCATTGTAGGGGAAGGGAATTTAGGTTATCCTCCCCACCATTGCCTAGATTGTCAGTTCGTTTCATCCTTGTAGATCCCTGGAAATCTCCCTAGTGCCAGATCTCTCCTCAGACCTATAATGGCTCCCTCTGTTATGGTATCTCTCATCCTGCTCTCCTCTATTCTACCTGCTCTCCTCTATTCTACCCCCAACTCAACATTTCTGCTTCTCCATTTCCTCCTCTCTCCTTCTCTTCTTCTCTTCCCCCCTCTCCCCTCCTCTTCTTCTCCTCTCATTCTGGCAGCTCCCTCTCCCCTACCCTCATGCTCCCAATTAGCTCATGAGATCCTGCCCCTTCCCATTCTCTGGGGTCCATGAATTTTTCTCTTAGAGTCCTTCTTGTTTCTTAGTTTCTTTTGTGAAGAGAATTGTAGGCTGGTAATCCTTTGCTCTACGTCTAAAATTTATATATGAGTGAATACATGTTTGATTTCTTTGACTGCGTTATCTCAGTCAGGATGGTTTCTTCTAGTTCCATACATTTGCCTGTAAATTTCAAGATTCCATAGCTTTTTTCTGCTGTGTGGTACTCCATTGTATGAATGTCCCACATTTTCTTTATCCATTCTTCAGCTGAGGGGCATCTAGGTTTCTTCCAGGTTCTGGCTATTACAAACAATGCTGCTATGAACATGGTTGAACATATGTCCTTGTGTGAACGTGCATTGTTTGGGTATATGACCAAGAGAGGAATTGCTGGATCTTGAGGTAGACTGACTCCCATTTTTCTGAGCAACCACCATAATGATTGCCAAAGTGGTCTTACAAGTTTGCACTCCCACCAGCAATGGAGGAGTGTTCCTTTTTCTCCACATCCTCTCCAGCATAGACTGTCGTTTAGTTTTTTATTTCAGCCATTCTGGCTGGTATAAGATGTTATCTCAGAATTGATTTGAGTTGCATTTCTCTGATGGTCAAGGATTTTAAGCACTTTATTAAATGTCTTTCAGCCATTTTAGATTCCATTTGAGAATTCTCTATTTAGTTCTGCACCCCACTTTTTAATTTCATTGTTTGGTGTTTTGGAGACTAGCTTCTTGAGTTCATTGTATATTTTGGAGATCAGCCCTTTATCAGATATGGGTTTGGTGAAGATCTTTTCCCATTCTATGGGCTGTTGTTTTGCCTTACTGACTGTGTCCTTTGCCTTATAGAAACTTCTCAGTTTCAGGAGCACCCATTTATTAATTGTAGATCTCAATATCTGTGTTACTGGTGTTATGTTTAGGAAGTGGTCTCCTGTATCAATTTGCTCAAGGGTATCTCCCACTTTCTCTTCTAAAAGGTTCAGTGTGTTTGGATTTATGTTGAGATCTTTGATCCATTTGGTCTTATGTTTTGTGCATGATGATAGATATGGATCTACCTGCAGTCGTCTGCATGTCTGAATCCAGTTGTGCCAGCACCATTTGTTTTTTCCATTGTATAGATTTAGCTTCTTTGTCAAAAATCAGGTGGTCATAGGTATGTGGATTAATATCAGGGTTATCAATTCTATTCCTTTGATCTATCTGTCTATTTTTCTACCGATACCAAGTTGTTTTCAGAACTATGGTTCTATAATAGAGCTTGAAATCAGGGATGGTGATGCCTCTAGAAGATCCATTGTTGTACAGAGTTGTTTTGGCTATCTTGAGGTTTTTTTGTTTTTCCATATAAAGTTTAGTATTGTTCTTTCAGGGTCTATGAAGACTGTGTTGGGATTTTGATGGGGATTGCATTGAATCTGTAGATTACTTTTGGCAAAATTGCCATTTTTACTATGTTGATACTACCTATCCAAGAGTATGGGAGATCTTTACATTCTGGTATCTTCTTTAATTTCTTTCTTTAGAGACTCAAAGTTCTTACTGTATAGATCTTTCAATTTTTTTGGTTAGTGTTACCCCAAGATATTTTATGTTGCTTGTGAATATTGTAAAGGGTGATGTTTCTCTGATTTCTTTCTCATTGCATTTATCATCTGTATATAGTAGGGCTACTCATTTTTTTGAGTTAATTTTGTATCCCGCTACTTTGCTGAAGGTGTCTATCAGCTGTAGGAGTTCCCTGGTAGAAGTTTTCGGGTCACTTATGTAGACCATCATATCATGTGCCAATAGTGAACGTTTGACTTCTCCTTTCCAATTTGTATCCCTTTGATCTCCTTTTGTTGTCTTATTGCTCTATCTAGAACTTCAAGTACAATATTAAAGAGATATGGAGAGAGTGGACAGCCTTGTCGTGTTCCTGATTTTAGAGGAATCGCTTTGAGTTTCTCTCCATTTAGTTTGATGTTGGCTGTTGGTTTGGTGTATATTGCTTTTATCATGTTTAGATATGTTCCTGTTATTCCTGTTCTCTCCAAGATCTTTATCATGAAGGTATGTTGGGTTTTGTCGAAGGCTTTTTCAGCATCTAGTGAGATGATCATGTGGTTTTTCTTTTGCAGATGTTGAACCATCTTTGCATTCATGGAATGAATCTTACTTAGTCACAGTGGATGATTTTTTTTTTTTTTTGACATGTTGAGTATAAGTTTATTATAAGGCCCGGCAGAATGGGGAGACTAAGAAGAGGAACAGGGTAATGTCTGACTGCCATGGTCGGTCGCCATACAGAGACAGGGAGAGCGCGTAGACAGAGAAGAGAAGAAACAGAGAGTAGGAAAGAAGAGAATGAAAGCAGAGTTAGTTGGAGCTTTAAAGGGAAGACTGCGCATGCGCACTGAGGTTCCACGTATGCCCAGTGTCCTCATGGGTGACGTGGTGATGACGTATCACGTTTCCTTACGCATGCCCTGACTTGTCAGGGAGCAGGGTCTGACTCTTAAAGAGGTAGAGCCAATCACCTTTCATTCCCACCTCTACTTATTGTAAGGCGAGGGAGGGGTTCCTGAGGTGTCCCAAGATGAGAGAAGGGAATTTGGGACCGGGGAAAGGTTGAATATTACCTGGAGTGAATCTGACCTATTTGGATCTGATTCAGCTTCCTGGAATTTACAAGAATCCTTAGAGTTTGTGGAAACATAAGTATTAGACATATTAGCAGCTTGTTCATGTTAGAAGCAACTTGGCTGAAAGCATTATCATTTTAAAATAGATTTTTTTGAGGACATTGAAAATCATCTTAGTCTTGACCTTGTAGTTATGATCTCATAGTGGTATTGTAGGACTGACTATGAACAGTAGCATGAGAAATAGAGAAATCTGGAACATATTTTATTCTTTTTAATGTCTCAACTTATTTTTTCATCACTTAAGCCTTTTTATCCTCAGGCCTTCGTAACTACATTCTTAGATCTTCATACATCTTAGACTTTCCTATCTTCACATAGATAAACTCTAAAATACCTGTTCCTGGAATCTGTTTTGCTTTAAGCTGGCAAGACTACCAGTCGTCAAAAGCATCAGAGTTCTTGAGAAGGATAAGATTTTACCTGAATCAATGATTAAAGAATAACAGAGACTTGCCAGCAGGCTGCATGGACAGCCATCCCCAAGGTCCTCCATCCATAGTAGCGGGCTGCAGGACACCTGCCTTCTTGCTGATAGCATGTGACCTGTGGATTAGACTATAGGAAGACTCGCCTACAGTTGTCCCAAGCAATGCAGGGAAAGTCGATTCCACTGTCATCTTATCCATGGTCTGGAATACTTTGTAGCAGTTGAGGTGAAGGGCAGGGTTGCTCAGTGACCAGCGTTGTCACTGACTCGAGATGAAGCTTCTTCAGTGCCC